GAATTGAGTTCATTTTCCCTTGCTGGTTAACTTTTTAAACCAGCACACAAGATGTATTGAAAAACACCTGGAGGACAACTCAGTTATCAGTCACAGCCAACACGGCTTCGTGAGGGGAAAATCCTACTTGTCAAATCTGATTTCCTTCCACGACAGGGGAACCCACCAAGCTGATCTAGGAAAGACAATAAATGTAATCTTTTTGGACTTCACTTCTGATATTGTCTCACACAGTGTCCTTCTCAACAAAATGTTCAGCACACAGCTGGATAACCGTGTTATGTGACCGGTGAGCAACTGGTTCATAGGTCAGGCACAAAGAGTTATAGTGAATGGGGTAACATCAGACCGGCAAACAGTCACTAGTGGGGTTCTGCTCCATCCTAAACCCAGTTCTCTTCAACATCTTCATTAACAACCTGGACACAGAACTCGAAGGTACACTAAGTAAGTTTGATGACAACACTAAATTGGGAGCAGCTGTTGATTTCCTCAAGGGCACAGAGGCCCTGCAGAGAGACCTTAACAAATTAAGAGAGATTTAACAAGCGAAAGTGCAGGATCCTGCACCTGGGATGGTTGTGTGTATAGGCTAGGGAACAAGAGGCTGGAGAGCAGCTCTGCAGAAAGGGATCTGGGGGTCCTGGTTGATGGCAAGTTGAATACAAGTCAGCAGTGCCCTGGCAGCCAGGAGGGACAACCGTGTCCTGGGGGACATCAGGCAGAGCATCGCCAGCTGGTCGAGGGAGGGGACTGTCCTGCTCTGCTCTGCACTGGTGCAGCCTCACCTTAAATATTGTGAGCAGTTTTAGATGCCACAATATAAAAAAGACACTAAGCTATTAGAGAGTGTCCAAAGGAGGGCCACAAGGATGGCGAAGGGTCTGGAGGGGAAGTTGTATGAGGAGTGGCTGAGGTCACTTGGTCTGTTCAGCCTGGAGGAGATTGAGGGGAGACTTCATCGCAGTCTTCATCATCCTCAAGAGGGGAAGAGGAGGGACAGGCACTGATCTCTTCTCTGGGGTGACCAGTGACACAACCCAAGGGAATGGTTGAGTCAGGGGAAGTTCAGGTTAGGTATCAAGAAAAGTTTTTTCACCCAGAGCGTGGTTGAGCACTGAAAATGATCCCCAGGGGAGTGGTCACAGCACCAAGTCTGAGTTCGAGAAGCATTTGACAATGCTCTCAGGCACATGGTGTGATTCTTGGGGTGTCCTGCACAGGAGTTGGACTTGATGATCCTATGGGTCCCTTCCAACTCAGCATATTCAATGATTTTATGATAAATTAGAATAAATTCAGCAGCAGCTTTCTCAGATTGTAACTCTATCTTTATGCCTTCCCTATTAGTTTTAATCTGAATAAGCAGCCAAATATTTCATCATTATTAACTGAAAACAAGGGGTTTTTTAATCTTTTATAGTTGATTTTTAAATCCTAAAAGTTGACTTAATCATCTGTAAAGACACTAGCATTTGCCATGTTACTCAGAGGAAAAATACAAATGCAAGACCACTAAGTTAGAAAAAAAGGTAAAAACTCAAGCCCAAAAAGTTAACTGAAATTAAAACAATTATTGTTAAGACACTTACCTAATTGAAACTAATCTCATTTCATTTAAAATAGATTAATGACTTTAAGCCAGCATATGGTGGAAACACAAAACATTTCATTTTAAGAAAAAACATGTCATTCCATAGGTTCTCTTTTGCTGCCATAAAGTGCCCTGGATATCCACATCAATATATAGTTTATAAGTAATTGCTTTCAGTAATAAGACACTTTGAAATGACACACAGCAAACCATTAGTTAATTACTTCCTTCAAATCCTATGTTAGTTCTCTGAATGGCGAAAACATGCACAACAGGTGATTTTAGCCTACCATCCATTTCTGAATATGAGTCCATTTTCTATCACATGAATGCTGAGAAAACGACAGAATGTAAAAAGAAAAACAAACAAACCATTTACAATATAAATTAGTCACCACACAACACTGGATTTCTCAATTGAAAATTCAGAAAAATCTAGTTAAATTGCTATGTAATCTTCAGTATAATACCAGATACCTATAGCAGTTTAAAACCTGAATCTACAGCCTAACAAGAACTGTATAAAATTAAGGCAAAAACTGTTTTGTAAATTGCACTTGTTATTACCACAGAAACCCCCCCCCCCAACAACCAGATATCAGCAATCCATTGATTTGAATGTAATAATGAAAAAGAATAAGTTCTCAATCTTCCGCATGCAATGTCAAAACCTGAATTAAATACAATAACCATGAAATAACAAGACTGCTGAAAACCTAGTTTCTAGAGGTTTTTTCTCAAGAAATGCAAACTTTTTCTTTAGGAGAAATGTGTGGAGCAACACGCAACTGTATGTGTAAATATTACCCCAATTTTATTCATTTTTTTAAAAATAAAGATCCTGACTACAGGTATTTATTGTGAATACTTTCAGTATAATCCAGTCCTAATGCTGAAAATACTAGCATGCAGCTGAATTACACTAAAAGAAAAAATCTTATGCAAATACAGAAATAAAATACGTTAATAATTTCAGTAAAGGTTTCTAAGAATTCCTGACGAGTTACACTACCTCTTTTTGCTGTCGCTCCAGCTCTCTCATACGTATATCTCTTGCTTCTGCTCGAGCTGCTCGTTTGGCTGCAAGTCTGGCTTCTGCCTACAAGCAGATTGAAAATAATGAAAGTTAAAAATGTTTTTTGAATAATGGTTTAAGCACTCAAATTAATAATCTCTTCACAATTGTACATTAAGATTCTAACATCGCAATACAGAGCCAGTAAAGAATTCAGAGTTCTCAGAATGAAATTTCAGAAAGAATATGTACCCAACTTTACAGATATCATTGCTAGTCAAAAGAATTACATGTTGATAAAAGAATCATAGAATGGCTTGGGTTGTAAGGGACCTTAAAGATCATCTAATTCCAACCCCCAGACCAGGTGCCACTAACTAGACCAGGTTGCTCAGAGCCCCATCCAACCTGACCTTGAACATTTCCAGGGATGGGACATACACAACTTCTCTGGGCAACCTGTTCCAGTGCCTCACCACCCTCACAGTAAGAATTTCTTCCTAACATCTGATCTAAATCTACTCTCTTGTAGTTTAAAACCATACATTCTCCTATGTCCTATCACTATCTGCCCGTGTAAAAAGTCACTCTCCCTCTTTTTTATAAACCCCCTTCAGGAAGGCCACAATGAGGTCTCCCCAAAGCCATCTCTTCTCCATGCTGAATAAACACGGCTCTCTCTGCCCATCTTCATAGGAGAGGTGTTCCAGTCCTCTGAGCATCTTTGTGGCCATCACTGAGTCCTTCTCCCAGTCTTTACTCATGTCTGGGATTGCCCTGACCCAGGTGCAGGACCTTGCACTTGGACTTGTTGAACATCATGAGGTACCTATGGGCCCTCTTCTCTAGTTTGCCCAGGTCCCCCTGGATGGCATCCTTCCATCTGTTGTGCCAAATGCACCACTCAGCTTCGTGTCATCTGGAAACTTGCTGAGGGTGCACTGGATTTCACTGTCTGTGTCATCGATAAAGACATTAAAGAGCCCTGGTACCAAGATATACCCCTGAGAGACACCACTCATCAATGGCTTCTATCAGGACGCAGACTCATTGAACACAACTCTCTGCCTGGGTCCATCCATCCAATTCTTATCTACTGAATAGTCCATCCATCAAAGCCACGTCTCTCCAATTTGGAGATAAGGATGTGATGAGCACTCTTGTCAAAGGCCTTACAGAAGTCTAGGTAGTTGACACTGCTTCCATGAGGATCTGCTCCACAATCTTCCCAGGCACAGAGGTGAGGCACAGAGGTGAGGCTCACCAGTCTGTAGTTCCCTGGGTCTTCTTTTCCATGCTCTTTAAAAATAGGAGCAATGTTTTTCAGTCACCGGTGACTTTGTTTGACCAACATGACTTTTCAAATATAATGGAGAGTGGCTTGGCAACATCATCAGCCAGCTCCCTCAGGACCCTGGGATGCATGTCTGAACTGAGTGCAGAAATATTACTGTCACTACAACTTGAAAACTGATGTTTTGTGGACTTTAAAATTACTTTGCCTATGCATAGTATTTGCACAGGCATGTATGCAACTGAAGAATCTTTGGCCACAAAAAGATATAAAAACCAAGAAGAAAGAATCAAAACAAGGATACAAAAACACTACTGCTCATGCCATATTTAAAGGCTCTGCTACCGTTTGGAATTATTTCAAAAAGCAAACATCACTTAGAATACTTCAAATGGCAATCAAAATCAAATTGATTAAAGGACAAAATGTAGGAAAGAAATTTAACATCGCCATTCCTTAAGAACTACCTTCAACACTGACTATCACCAAAAAGGGACTTCCCTACCTTTTCATTCAAGGCCTTATACTGCCAACACCTTCCTTGGACAGAGTTTCAGTGCTCAGAATCTGCTGTAAGCCAATTTAACTAACTACCATAGCAGTAAGTTAACAGCAGCAATAAAAAGTAGTTTTCTGGTGTGTTTGTGAAATGAATTGGCTTGTACAAAGACCTTAAGAACACCAGACCCAGCAAAAAGTACAAGCAGGACAAACATTAGCATGACCTTCCCCTTTTCAGTGGCAAATAGCTTACTTCTGCACGGCTTGTGAAACCTGGTTATTGGCAGATACAACTACGTATTTTCTCCACTTTCTATCCAGCCTCAACAAAAAAAGAAACATTGTCTTTCAGACCCTAAATGCTACCCCAAATTTAATCATGAGGAAATAAAATTTGCCATAAAGTTTGAGGAAAGCACAAGCTCAATTTCTTCATGTTTGAGTAATGAGTTGACAAAAAAAATTGTCTTAAATTCTTGAAATAATAAACCACTGAAGGTTTTCCACCAAAAATTCCAGTTGCCTATCGAATGTTAATTAAAAATTTATGAGAAACAGCAGCAGCCAAAAATTCAGAACTCCTAACAACCAAAACATTTGATTTTGTAGAACTTCTTAAAAATGTAAAATTCAATGGGATTTTTCCTTTGATTAAGGATAGGTTTTTTCCCCTACTTTTACCACTATCACAGCATAGGTTTATGTAAAACACTGGAAACCTATAAAATGTTTTACTGTGCTTCAGAAGAATGAATGGGATTTTTAACCTGGACTTCAACTTCAAATTATTATTAAACTACAGGTACAAAAGTATCTATTGAATAACGACAAGAAAGAAGGCAGACACATTATAGCTTTATTACTCAAAATAGTTTGTCTTAATTTCAAATGATTCTCATGAAGACTGTTTTTCTGTGTATTACATACTCAGATAAAACAATTCCAAGGCTGTATCAACACTCCTGACTGTTCCACTATAATCTTTTTCCTCCTGCCTGATGACAACAAACAAGTAAAGCAAGGAAATTCCCATGGAAAAGGAAGTACTCCCATTTGCAGCCCTACTCTGTAATTATCACTCTGTTGCATATAAACTGTCATACAGACAGGGATGGGGACCCCTGGTGGTCTAGTGGTTAGGATGCGGCGCTCTCACTGCCGCGGCCCAGGTTCGATTCCCGGTCAGGGATACTCCCCCGGGCAGATGGAGCTTGTCAGCCCTGTACGGCCATCCATCTAAGAGAAGGTCACTCTAAACAAACCTACATCCTGAGGACCTTACTGCCATTGTCCAAGCTTGCTTGGCCCCGGCAGATGAACCTTAGGATTAAAGGGTGGGCTCAGATCAGCGCATGCTGTGTCTAAAAAAATCCATTGCGCAGGCTTGAAAGGTAAAAGACCTTTCCCAAAATCTTCGTTCGCGAAGACTGGCCATACCAGACAGGGATGCAGCACAGAAAGAGAAAGGACTCAAAGAGCTGATATATCTCCGTTTAGTTCTGTCTATAGAAAGGGAGACATTTGCATCTAGCCTTTAGGCTCTGGCAAAGATATATCTATTAAAGATATAAAGTTAATTTGCTTACTGGTTCATGCTGAAAATCAGTTCACATTTCACCACTCTCCTAGTCCTACAGACGTAACTTTCAGATTCCTATAGTAAAGGGGAAATTCCATTTCTTCTAATTTACTAAACCCTTGATAAAACATAAGAGAATTCTACAAACATTTGTCATAAAATAGATGCTTGAAATTGAAGAAAAAAAAATCTTTTTTAGAGAAATTTTTTAGCAAGAAATAGTTTGATATTACATCAATTATTAATCTGAGCAACTAGATTCTTCTAAAAATCACACAATTCCAAAAAAGACAAAAAATTTGGCAAGTTAACTGAAAGCACAGTTCTCGGGCTTCCTTCACCAAACTCTAAAGCAAGAGACAAATCATAGTGCCATGTGAAAAGGGCCATCACACCAAGTAATTCTTTATTTTCAGTAGACCTGTTAAAGCACAGCCCTCATGTTACCAATACAGCAGTCATACAAATCTTCATAACTAATTGAAATTCTAAATTAACAACCAAAAAGAAACAACCATAATTCCAAAGGACATAGTTTTCTTCCTGGGTGCTGCTATTCACTCTGTTGTCTTACTGAAGAAAGCCCATAAAAGTTGTGAAACAAATTACCCCCAACAAACCCTTCACAAATTAATTTTGTCAGCTACATTGAAATAAAGTCTTAAATATCTGCTAAGGAAAATACAGTGACTGTTAGGACTGTTAGTCAAGGGTCTGGTTAAGATGAAGGCTGGAAGCAGGTCACTGCACATACCAGGAGGAAGGTTCCTCCATCTTCACAGAATTTGACAGGAAGGGTTGGTACCTTCTAAAACAGGTATGACGCTCTGGAACTAGAAGGTCAGACAACTGGTGAAGTGGGCAAAGGTCCTTGTGGGGTAGTGGGGCCTCCTAAAAAAAACCACCACCTGTACCCCACATCAAGACCTCCTCTGTCAAGAGGAAAAGAAGGGTAGTTGTAATAGGAGACTTCCTTCTAAGGGAAATGGCAGGTCTGATATGCAGACCGGACACAATTCACAGGGAAGTCTGCTGTCTCCCAGGGGCTTGAGTAAGGGACATTACCAGAACACTCTTCAGTCTAAATAAGGCCCTCTGATTACTGTCCACTATTGGTTGTTCAAACTGGCAGAAGCAAAATAACAAAGAGAAGTCCAAGGGCAATCAAAAGACATTTCAGGGTCCTGGGATGATTGGTAGAGGGATCAAGAGCACAGGTAGTGATTTCCTCAATTCTTCTGGTAACAAGGAATAATACTGATAGGAATAGGCAGATCCATCAGGTCAATGCATGGCTCTGAGGTTGGTGCAAGTGGAAAAATTTTGCGTTTGTTGGCCATGGGATGATCTATTAAACACCTGGTCTACTGACAGCTGACAGGATGCACCTATCTCAGAGGGGAAAAAGAGTTCTGGCACAGGAACTAGCAGGGCTCATTAACAGAGCTTTGAACCTGTTTGGAAGGAGGAAAGGGGCAAAACAAGGCTTGCCAGTGATGAGTCATGGGATAGTGCGCCAAAATTTGAGGAAACAAGCACTCATCGGATCCCTCAATCTGCTTCACAAGGTATTGGCTACAATGTACCACACCTGAAATGTTTCTACACCAATGTACGCAGTGTGAGGAACAAAGAAGAGGAGCTCAGAGCTTTGGCCCAGTCCCAGAGATTTGACACTGGCATAAGTGAAACCTGATGGGATGCAACCTG